CAGGCTTCCCCTCCCATGAGGAAAGTAGGACATGGCGGGTCACCTCTGCAGGGACACTGCTGCCGGGCAGAGATTTAGGGCCAGTTCAGTCACGAGTTCAATCCCCAGTGCAAAAAAACAAATCCATTTGTGACTCCACTGGCAGCGTATTATAAGTTGATATTTGCTCTTTCAGCTCTGTTCTTTAAGCACTGTATATTCAGGCTTCCCCTCCCATGAGGAAAGTAGGACATGGCGGGTCACCTCTGCAGGGACACTGCTGCCGGGCAGAGATTTAGGGCCAGTTCAGTCACGTTTCTTGAACTCTATTGAACAAGTTTGTTCTGCATTTGCTGGGTTGTCGAGGGCCACCTTGACTCACAGCCCCAGGGAGGGGCATGGGAGGTGGTGCCTGGTGTGGGAGGACCCAGTTCCCCAGGCTGCAGTGGGTGTGGGCTGCGGTGTTGGAGAGGTGGCCAAGCCGCCTGTGGGCCCGGAAGGCGGGGTGGGTGAAGATTCCACACAGGGGAGGGGAGGGGGCCTGCATTTGGCGCCTGTGCTGTGGCAGAGGTGTGAGGCCATAGGGAGCCTGGTCAGGTTTCTGTCTGCACACAGATGGGGCCTGAGGGCCACCTTCTCCACGGGGGGCCCTGAGGGGCCTGCAGCAGGCAGGCGGGGCTTCACCCCTGGGTGCAGTCACAGGCCCTGGAAACCTGCACAGCATGGTGCCTGGGAGCCCTAGCAGAGCCCATGGAAGGTGGGGCTCCCCTGGTAGGTGAGAGACAGGAACCTGGCCTCTGAGATGTATGCCGCTCCAGGACTGTGTGATTCAATGTGACTATGCAGAGTAGTTGGGAGGCCCTGGTGGCTTGTGACAGCGAGGGGCAAAACTGTACAACTTGCAGTCTGAAAACTTACAAACTGCCAGGCGTGGTGGCACAGGCCTGTAATCCCAGAACTCTGGGAGGCTGAGGCAGGAGGATTACCAAGTTTGCACCCTCTCTGGGCAACTCAGTGACTTAGGCCCTGTCTCAAAATAAAACATTTATAAAAAGGTCTGGGGATGTAATTGAATATGAATGTCCTGTGTTCAACCCCAGTACCACAAAACAAAAGCCTAGAAACTGTGGAAACTGCCTGTCCCTCCCATCCCCCCAAATGCATACTGAATCCAGAGCCTTTGCTTTAAGAGCTGCATCTGTAGCCTTTTTTAGGGACGGGATCTTACTAAATCACTAAATTGCCCAGACTGTTTGAACTTGTGATCCTCCCACCTCAGCCTCCCAGAGTGCTTAGATTACCAGCCTGGCTGCCGCCAAGCCAAGCTTCTCCTTGAATAAGTAGGCTGGTTGCCTGAGAGGTGGCTGGAGTAGAGTCTTGGTTTTGCCAGTGAACCGGCCCTGAGGCCCTGGAGCATCTTTTCATCCATAAGCGACTCATCCGCCTTGCTAATGGTGCAGTGCACTGCCTGGCCCACGTGTGCACACCCTGCATGTGATGGCCCTCTCCTTCCACCTGAGCAGGGCTCACTGCACAGGGTAGCAGGGGCTGGGGCTCTGCTCAGCACCTTCTGCCTTGCAGCGACTGCTGAAAGCCAGAGGGCGAAGGCGCACATGGCGTAGTGTTGGCTCTGGAGGCCCCGCATCCTGTTGCAGCGATGCCCAGAGAACCCTGAGCTGAGATGCTCACAGCACTCTCCTCTCTTCCCCCAGTTCCTGGCCAAGCCCCATGAAAAGACCCATTGTCCCATGGAGAGGCAAAGCCTTGCTAAAACCAAAGGCAGAGCCTTTGTAGACTTTAAAAATATCCTTTCCCTGCTCCCACTGCTTCATGGACCGGGTCCGATGGAGTTAACCTGTCCTTATTCTCCTCTGGGAAAGGCTCTCTTCTCTCTGTCAGGCACTCTCCGGGTAGATGTGGAGCCCGTTTTCAAAGGCTGACAGCCATAGGCGTCAAACCAAGAAACGACTGCTGACCTGGACCCAGGCTCTGGCTTATTTTTTCTTATTTCCCTGCCGTTGTATTTTTTTTTTTTTTTTTCGTTTTTTTTTTTTTTTTTTTTTGGTACTGGGTATCGAACTTGGGACCTTAGGCTTGCAAAGTAGGCGGCAGCACCACTGAGCCAGACCCCGGGCCCTACCATTGTATCTTTTCAAAAAAACTGTTTTGGTAAGTAAGACATGATGGCGCATGCCTCTAATCCCAGGACTAGGGAAGCTGAGGCAGGAGGATTGCCAAGGGCCGCATAGTGAGTTTAAGGCCAGCCTGAATGAGATCCGGTGTAAATAAATAAATAAATAATAAAAAATAAAAGACATTCTTGTCTGACATTCATATTACCTTATTGGGGGCTGAGGATTTAGCTCAGTGGTTACACCACCTGCCTTACAAGCAAGCAAGGATCTGGGTTTGATCCCTAGTACCCAAAATAAACCAATAAATAAATGTTACCTTATTGGTTTTACTTCTCTCTCTCTCTCTTTTTTTTGATACTGGGGATCGAATTCAGGACCTTGCACTTGCGAGGCAGGCGTCAGAACCACTGAGTTAAATCCCCGGCCTACCTTATTGGTTTTATGTCGGTATCTGTATGATATCCATTTCCCTGTCACTTTATTGTAGCAGCTCTTTTGAAGTTTCATTTATGTATAATAAAATTCATCAGTTTTCAGTGCACAGTTTGATGGGTGTGGACAAGATAGCTCCAGCATAGTCATGATCTCCATCCCTTCATATGTCCCCACTGGTTCTCCGTAGCTGGTTCCTTCTTTGTACCTTTAGCCCCAGGAGCCACTGATCTCCTTTGTGGGGTGGTTGTGTGTTTTTGTGTGTGGTTGTGTTTACTCGGCGTAATCAGAATTCACCCAGTAGATCATTCCTCTAATTGCTGAATAGGGTTCTGTTGTGGAGATGTAACATAATTTGTTCATTTGTCTGTCAGATCTTAGACATTGAATTGTTTCCAGAGTTTAGTGTGTGTTTTTTTTTGGGTTTCTTTTTTTTGGGGGGGGGTACTGGGAGTCCAACTTAGGACCTTGTGCTTGCAAGGCAGGTGTGAGCTAAATCCCCAGCCCTTTCAGAGTTTAGTTTTGTAAGCATCAGAAAGCAAATTTTTGTGTGGCTATGCCCTATTCTTTTCCAAAGAGGTCCATTTTATGTTCTTATCAGCAATGTATGAGGGTTCCAGTTTCTTTTCATGTCATCAGCAACACTTGTTTTTATGAGTCTTTTTAATTTTTGCTACTCTAGTGAATTTATGACACAAATTATGGTTTTAATTTGTATTTTTTTTAATGATTTAAGGGTGTTGAATGTATCTTCATGTTTTCAAATAATGAGACTTTAAATCTTTTGCACATTTTTTCAGTGGATTGTTTGTCTTTTTCTTATTGTGTTATAAGAGTTTGACCTAGTGTAGAAATAAATAATTCATCAGGTATGTTTTGTACATATTTTCTACTAGTTTGTGCCATGTAATGCATTGCACTTAGAGAAAAAGAACATTTCAGCTGGGCATGGTGGCACACACCTGTAATCCCAGCACTTGGGAGGCTGAGGCAGGAGGATCACTGTGAGTTCAAGACCAGCCTGGACTACATAGTGAGTTCCAGGTCAGTCTTAACTACATAGTGAGACCCTGTCTCAAAAAAAAGAACATTTCAAATACTTTTAGGTGTTCACATATATTTAGAATTTAGACATTCTTATGTCACTGTTTTGTTATGATAGTCATAAGTATAGAGTTGATTTAATATACATTAAAATGCTCTGTTTTGACAAAATGAGCAGTGTAGAATTTCTTCCTTTCTTTTTTTTGGTACTGGGGAACAGTGTATACTTTCTATTAATTGGCTTGCATGCAGATGATGATAAAAATGATAGCAAAGACTTATCAGCACCCACTGTGTGCGAGGAGCTGGTTTTGTACGCAGGAACTGATGGAATCCATGGAACACCAGGCCTGTGGTCTTCCCCAATTCAAAGATGAGGAAACCGAGGCAGGAAGACAGCTAAAAGCACTATTTGGTTTTCTGTTTAGCTCCTGTCCCTCCACCCATCCTCAGTGCCTTCTGGTTAACAGCAGTGATTTGAAATCACCTCTTGAAACCCACGGCAAATGAAGCCACACACGATGCTGTGTGTTTCTGGGAGGTGACGAGGACCCAGCACCCCGGAGTCTGAGTGTTTAGTTGCAGGGCAGGCATGCTGCGACGGAGGCACTAAGTAAACATGGACATTGTTTGGAGGAGGGGAATCACATTAAAATAACCAAGCCCTGCTGGACGTGGTGGTGCATGCCTGTAATCCCAGCACTCAGGAGGCTGAGGCAGGAGGATCGCTGTGAGTTCAAGACCAGTCTGGGCTACATAGTTCCAGGTCAGTCTCTCAACTACATAGTGAGACCCTGTCTCAAGAAACCAAACCAAACCAAACAAAACAAAACAAAAACAAGCACCTAAAATAATGTCTAACACTTAAAGTCTTGTCAGGTCAGGTGGTGACTCCCAAGGATGCTTGACAGTGGATAATAGGTTTAAGAGTAGAGAAAGAGGAAAGACGAAAGAAAAGTTTTCTTCTTTTTCTCAGGAATCTCCATGTTAAAGCTATGAAAAGGAGCAGCTCAGCTAATGGAGTGTAAATTGTTTAAAAGTGGGAGCAGAGCCGGGCATCATGGCACCCGCCTGTCAGCCCAGTACTTAGAGGCCAAGGCAGGAGGATCGCCGTGAGTTCGAGGCCAGCTGGGACTACATAGTGAGTGCGAGGCCAGCCTGAAGTACACGGCAAGACCCTGTCTCAAAAAACTAAAAACAAGGAAGGGGGCTCAGTTATCCGTAATAAGGGAGGGGGTCTGGACCTTCACCCCGTGTGAGTCACGGGACCTGGGGCCTATTCATGCCTGAAGAATCCGTTGAGTCATTTCATACATGTAAAGCACTTGGCCTCATGCCTGGCGTAGAGTGACCACCGAATAAACACTCGCTAGTTTTAGTACCCTTTGAATGCAGAGGAGAGAGCGAGCCAGTTCACAGAGCGAGCATGGAAACTGCACTTCACGGTGGACGGCCGAGTGCATCACCAGGTCAGTCCCGGAGGCTGTTTGCTGAGCAGACCCTTGGCTGAAGGGTTCAGTGCTCTGGTCCTCTTCGCGTCCCTGCCTGTGTCACCTGGGCGAGTGAGTGGGCAGCGGAGGAAGGCGTGGGCAGAGAGAGCTGGGGCCTGCGCGCGGCATAGGACACTGCGTGCCCAGCACCTAGGCTAAGCCCATCGCCACTGTGTCACCTTGAGAGGCAGGGCGGCTCTGTGGTGCTCCTGGCTGACAGGACTTCCTGGGGATATGAACGCATGTTAATTTGTGCCATCTGCTATGAACAGACTAGAGGAATATTGTTATTTTCTCAGATACAGCTTTTTCTCTTTCTCTTTCTGCCATGACTAATTGATGATATACTTACTTGGTAAAAAGCTTCAACATATTCACCCTCCAGTTTTTTATTCATTCTTTTTTGTTTTGTTTTGTTGAGACAGGGTTTTGCTATGTAGTTCAGCCTGGCCTCAAACTTACTATGTAACCCAGGCTGGCCTTGAATTCATGGTGATCCCCCTGCCTCAGCCTCCTGAGTGCTGGGATGACAGATGTGCGCTAGCACTCCGGCTTCTATTCAAGGCTTAGGGTGGCCAAGGTGACAGGAAAGCCTGGGCGTGCTCTGCTCCCTGGGCCTCAAGGGGACCCTGCCAGCAGGACTCCGATGAGCCCATCATGTCGTCCTGTTGGGCTGGGTGACGGATCTGCAGCCTGCGTCCAGGGAGCAGGGATCTCACAGCCTCTCCGTTGTGTGTTGCAGCCTTGGTGCTCTTCCTCCTCTCAAAAACGGGCAAGATGTTGGCGGGCTGCTCGCTGCTGCTGCTCCTCCTCGGACAGACGCTGGTGCTCCCAGCTGTGGCCAGACAGCGGCCTCAAACCAGGACCCCGGCCCGGGGCAGACACTGGCGGACGCAGATGTCCCTGCTGGGTGAGTCGCCTGGAGCTGGGCCTGTGGTCTGGGCTGGGGAGTGCGGCTCTCACTGAGGGTATGGTTGGCGGAACAAAGTTTTCAAAATAAAATTACTTTGTGTACAGGGAGTCCGGATGTAGCCCTGGCTGACCTTGACCTCGTGGTCCTACTGCCTCAGCCTTCCAAGTGCTGGGATTGCGGGCATGTGCCACCCCACTGGGCATGCAGTATAAAATTAAACCCTTTCCATTTTAAAGCTCTCGGTTTCACGAAGACTCGTGACCTTTGGCTGGGTTGTTGGATTGATGAGGACAGCGGTGTTCTGAGCAGTCTGCCACCTGCGGAGAAGCAGGCACGGGGAGGGTCCCAGGGAGCTGACTCTGGACTGCAGGGGTGGTGGTCCTGGCCTCCAGGCTCCCACCTATTTTCTCTGTGGAGCAGGAGTGGGGGCTGATGCTGTGGGAACGGGTGACCCTGTCTCTGCAGAGGGTGTGCCCGCCCGCATGGGGATGTTTCTGAGGAAGGAAGGGTGACCCCAAGCTGTGTGTCTGCTCCTGCTGATGCTTTGCAAACCAGCAGCCTCAACATCCAAAATTCGGGTTAGGCACTGAAGAAGTCCAAGGAGCTCTATTTCGTTTTCATTTTTCTTTTATTATAGGGCATTAAACCCAGGACCTTTGCACTAAGCCACAGTACCAACATACCCACCCCTGCCCTTTAAATTTTGAGATAGGATCTTGCTAAGTTGCTAAGTAGCTCAGGTGGATCTTCAGCATGGGGTCCTCCTGCCTCAGCCTCCAAGAGTACTGGGATTCTTCTTTCCTGCTGCTGATTATATGATGACACTCCCTCCCTCCAGTCTTCCTGTCTTCAGGCCTCTGAGAAACCTTCCCTAGCGAGGTAAACATTAGACTCCTGCTTATAGAAAAGGGGACAGTGGGTGTTTATTTCACTTTAAAAGCAAATTCCAAGATGATAACCATATAAACATGGATTCCTAGCTTACCAGCAGTGGTTGCGGTTGTGCACTTGTGTTTCTGATGGGTGCGGTCCCCATGGGCGCCCCCATACTTGGCTGCCTGCCTGCAGCGCCTTCTCTGGTGCGGAGTTCTCACCCCGGTGCCAGCCTCTGCAGGGGAAGCTCAGGAGATGGGGCAGGGAAGCCCGTGGGCCACAGGCATCCGTCCCCACAGTACACAGCCTCCGTTTCTCTTTGTGGCACTGGGGTCTGAACCCAGAGCCCTTTCCTTATTTTTTATTTTGAGACAGGGTCTCGCTAAACTGCTGAGTTGCCCAATCTGGACTTGAACTTGTGATCCTCCTGCCTCAGCTTCCTGAGTGCTTGCATTACAGGCACACACCACCACAGCCGACTTTTTCTTGGCTTGTTTCCTGTGCTGAGAACATCGCTGAGCCCCAGGTCCCTGTCTGTGGCAGGTGGTTTTGGCTGTATTGGTGGCATTCCTGGGCACAGGATATTTTGCAAGGTCCCTCACTTCTTCCTGTATCTCAGAAACTTTAATCAAGTAGAATAGCAGCATTGTTTCCCAGGTTAATATTTTTGGTTTCAATTTTCTGAAAAAAATTTTTGAGACAAAGTCTCACTTTGTAGTCCAGGCTGGCCTTGAACTCACAATGATCCTCATGCCTCAGCCTCCAAAGTGCTGGGCATTAGTGTTGTGTGCCACTACTCCTGGCTTGATTTTTAAAATGTTTGTATTTTGTGTGTAAATTCAAAGCAGATCTCTATAACAACTCAAGCCAGCTACAGTGGTAAAGCAGGCAGCTCTCCTGCTGCCGAGAGCTGACCATGAATGTGGCAGGACCTTGTGTGCTGGCAGAGGCACCTGTGACTCAGGGCTCTGCTCTTCTGGCCTCGTGCACTCAGCACAGGTGGTAGAGGCACCCAAGCCCTCTGATCTCAGGACCCTTCCTGGTCCACCCGAAATCATTGAGGGGCTTGGGGATGTGTCTCAGGGGAGGGCACTTGCTTAGTGTGTGTACAGCTCTGGGCTCAAACCACAAGAAGCAAATAAAAATATTTTAGGATCCCAAGAGACTTCCATTTGTGTGTGTTAGATCTATCAAGATTTATGGGATCAGAAATTAAAATGGAAGCCAGGTTTGGTGGCGCATGCCTCTAATTCCAGTTCTCAGGAGGCTGAGGCAGGAGGATCACTGTGAGTTTGAGGCCATCCTGGGGTACATAGTGAGTTTAAGGCCAGCCTGAACTACATATGGAGGCCCTGTCTCAAAATAACAACAACGAAAAAGAAGTTTAAATGGAAAACTTTAAAAATATTTGTTAAATTACTTAAAAATAATAAATCTAGAACATATTATGAACTATTTGCATAAAATTACATATTCTTTTTCTTTTTTTTTGGTACTGGGGATTGAACTCCGGACTTTGTGCTTGTGAGGCAGGCAACGGAACCATTGATCTAAATTCCCAGCCCAAAACTACATATTCTAAACAACAAAGAATTAGTGGAGAGTGGCTCCTTCCTACATTTTTGCAGATCTTCATGTCTGGCTTGCTGTAGGTACCTGGAGTCTCGTTTCTTGTTCGCTCACTCTGTTACAAATGCGGCTTCGGCTGGGCTGAGTGGGAAGTGTGCACAGCTCGGAGCAGCCGCTCCTGTAGCCCTGGCGTTTACCGAAGGAGTCTGCCGGAACTGGTGGAGTTGTGCCTAAAACCACAGAGAGAGACACTTTCCATGCTCATGAGAGACGGGGAGTTAAACCTTAAACACAGTGTCAGGAGTCAGTTCTGGTTCTGATCACATGGGTCCTCGCAAAGGGCTTTGAGACCCCTCAGGGCCCTGAGCCATCCTGTGACAGTTGCTGGGGGAGGGAGCCATTGCTCCCGGAAGTCAAGGCTTCGGGAACAGAGACTGCTGGTGGCAGAGGGGCAGGGGTGGCGATGGGGTGGGGACCAGCCTGGAAGAGCAGGAGCTAGTCACTGTGGACCCGAGGCCCGAGAAGCGTTTGAGCCTCGAATTGCAGGTGCAGGATCCAGGCCTCGTCCACATCTTAGTGGGTATCGAACATCTGAGCGGAAGTTGCACACAGATGGCTGATTCCACCCTCATTTGGATGATTTTATTTTTGTTTGTTTTTTTGAGATATAATCTTGCTGTGGAGGCTTGGCCTTGAACTTACTGTGTGACCCAGCCTAACCTCAAACCTGTGGCGATCCACCTGCCTCAGCCTCCTGAGTGCTGGGATCCCAGGCACGCAGCACTGCCCTGGTCTTGGAAAATTCTAGCTTTAATTTGACTTCTCAGTGAGAGACCTAGGCTAGCTGTGTTCTTGTTCAGGACTCCATCATCCCTCTGTTGAAGGAGAAGGTTGAAGATCGTCCCTCAGCTCTCCCTTAGGATGTGATGTCACCAAGTCCCCTCCTCCTTGGTGGCTCTTTCTTGTGGATGCTGGGCATGCCTCTTCGCTTTCCAGGGAGGAGAGCTGAGGCAGCACCAGGTCCTGAAGGCCAAGGAAGGAGAGGTGAAGACGCAGCGGTGGAGTGGGCGGCAGGACCAGGCAGCAGAGCTGATTTGCAAACCTCGCTGCCCACTGGAAGCCCCTGGAAGGCTTGTCGGGCACAGGGCACAGACCACGGGGCCCTGGGCCTGGGAGTCTGATTCACCGGGTCTGGCTTCAGGCTGGAGAAGCTGCATTTCTAGCCAGGGGAGGTGGTGCGTGCCTGTGATCCTAACACTCAGTCGGGAGGCTGAGGCAGGAAGATGGCGAGTTCGAGGCTAGCCTAGGCTCCATAGCAAAACGGTCTCAAAACAAAACAAAAAAAGAAGCTGCGTTTCTGGAGACCTTTGGAGAGCAGCTGCAGAAGAGAAATACACACGTGGGGTGGGAATGAGGAGGAGAGATACAAGGGGAGGTGCTGCGGGGCAGGGTTGGGTGACCACTCCGGTGAGCGGCGCCTGTAGGGGAGCTTGCAGCTGGAGAATGAACCAACTGCGCCTGTGTCCACCCTTCCACGCTTTGAAAACCTGCTGTGCGCATTTTCCTCCTTGGGGAGGTGGTAAAGGTGGATCCATCCTCTCGCGGCGCCAGCCGGTTCCCAGTGCACAGCTGCAGCCTCCAGATCATCAGAGCTGATTGCAGAAACGAAGCTCGGTGCACAGAGCTTATCAAATCATTTCGTCTTATTTTTATTTATATCTTTGAGATAGGGTCTCACTGTACAGTCCGGGCTGGCCTCAAACTCACCGGGGCCCTTCTGCCTCAGACTCCTGGGTGCTGGGATCACAGGCTCCTGTCACCATGCCCAGCATCAAATTGTTCAGACATAGCAAAGACTTTTGAAGTCAGATCTTCTTTCCTCAGTGCCCAGCCACGGCAGCCTCGCAGTTGGAAATGTGGACCCAGTGGGGGACCGGCAAGGCCCAGCCTGGCTCCACCTGCTGCTTCCTATAAAATGCATTTTCCACACCCATGCTCAGCTAATGTATAAAACAACCTCTTGTTATTGTTCATTTGAAAATAAACTGTGAAATAAAATTCCTTGATCCTATCTTATGACTCATGGGAGAATTCCCCCAAAAGCACAAGTTCTGACTTCTAAAATACCAAGACATTAAAAGCTTTCATAGCCCATGGATATAGACTTTGAGGTTTCTTATTCTATGGATTCCTTTTTTTTTTTTTTTGAGGCGAAGTCTTACTAAGTAGTTCAGGCTGTCCTTGCACTCACTGTAGAGCCCAGGCTGGCCTAGAACTCATAGTGATCCTCCTGCCTCAGCCTCCTGAGTGCTGGGTTGACAGGTGCCACCACGCCCGGCCCTTTACAGATATTGTCTGTCCCTGCTTGCCCCCCTTCTCTTCTCTTTTAAACTCCTCAGTCCCCATCTGCTATCTCTTCCTCTCACCCCTCTCCCTCCCTCGGTTTCCTCCTCAGCTCGGAGACCCATCCCCTGCTGGCCCGCAGGTTGGCACCCACATTGTGTGTGCCCCAGGCGGGGGGGCTTCCCTCTGGGGGTGACAGCACCATTCCTGTG